TCCTCCTACTTCTGCCTATTATGTTATGAAGTTATGGATATGTACCACCATACTGAGCTAGTAATTGGGCTTTGGGGTTTATTTTGTTTTCAGAAGGAGTATCATATCATACAGTCCATGCTGGCCTGAAGGATCCTCCTGTCTTTGCTTCCTGAGTGCTACAGACTTGTGCTCTCATGCTTTGTTTTAGGTGGTACAGAGATGGAACACAGGGTTTTGTGTGTGCTAGGCAAGCACTCTGCCAACTGAGATAAACCCCAGCCCTAGTAATGAGGTTTTTAAATTCGGTTACATTTTGTTGTTGTTGTTGTTGTTGTTTTGCTTTGTTTTGTTTTGAGACAGCGTCTCTCTATACAGTCCCGGCTGTCCTGGAACTCATTAAGACCAGGCTGGCCTCAAATTTGCAGCGATCCCCCTGCTTCTGCCTCCTAATTGCTGGGATCAAAGGTGTGCACTACCTGGTAATTTTTTTCATAGGTGTATACTATCATGCCTGGTTTTCTGCCTCTCTTTCAAAAGGATACCATTTATCCCAGATTGGCCTTAAACTCCTTATGTAGCAGAGGATAAGCTTGAACTCCTGATCCTCTAGCTTCTAGATCCTGATGGATGGGATTATATGCCTGTCCCAGCACAGCTCATTATGTGGTCCTGTTTTGAACCTAGGGTTTTATGCATACCAGGCAATCACTCTCCCAACTGAAGTAATAGTCATGTTGGGATGCATCCTGCAACATTGCCTAGAGTTCCAGCTCTTCAGGCTGAGCCAGAGGATCACTGGTGTTAGTATTCTGAACTGCCCCTTGGGGACCTGCCCCTTGGGGACCCGCCCCTTGGGGACCCACCCAGTGTCCTGATGTCATCTTATGAGAAGTCTCCTTAAGAAAAAAAACCAACCCCTTCTCCGTCTCCCCCTCTTCCTCTCCCTTTAATAATAAATTTTCCGCCCGGACATGTATCTGCATGGTGTGAGTAACTTTCCTCCGCTCCATGCCACAGCCCACCACTGCATCTGCATGGTGTGTCTCCTTTACTCACCAGGGCACCTTGGCCCAGCCCGCCAAGCCTCCTGCGTGACATATCACAACTGGAGCCCAGAAGTTTGAAACCAGAGTGGGCTGCATAGTGAGACTCTATAAGAAAACAAACAGATGGGCTGGAGAGGTGGCTTGTTGCTCTTACAAAGGACTCAAATCTGGTTCCCAGCACCCACGTGGCAGTTCACAACCATCTGTAACTCCAGTTCCAGGGGATCCAGTGTCCTCTTCTGGTCCCTTTATGCAACAGGCACATATATGGTGCACAGACATACGTGTAAACAAAACACCCATCCATATAAAATGAAAATAATAAAATTTCAAAAGAAAGGGGGAAAAGGACAGAGTGATAGAAGGAGACACCCTCCGTCACACATGCACTTGCCTGCACCCTCAAAGAGTACTCTGTATTCCCAGTGGCTTCCTGGCTTAGCTGGAGAACTCTGGCCTTCCTTCCCTGTCCCCCTCCCCCAGTGGAGGGCACTGAAGCCAGGGCCTCAAGCATGGTAAGCCCGCTCTGTTATTTAGCTACAGGCACAGTCTGCCTCTCCCTCAGACCATTTTCCTTCGAGATGTATTTATTCTCTGCATGTTGGCTATAAATTGGTAGCCCATAGACAGTGGGTCTAGGCTGCCTGTAGGGAGGTAGAGATGGCGGCAAACACAGATGCTCACTTGAGTGTAGCAGTGTGCAGTGTGACAGACTCCCACCATCGAAGGGTAAACATGGCTTAGGATACTTGAGTGACTGTGCTCAGATATCAAAAGGACAATTCAAAGGACAGATACTGGGAACCCTTCCAACCCACAGCCCACAGCAGAGTTCCGGGCATCTTGTTTTGGTCCTGGTCTCCACAGCCACTCAGCCTGTGGCTCTGGGGGAATGCTGGGGGGGGGGGGGGCACATGATACAGCCCAAGGAGGCTGAAATTGAAATGGGGTAATTGTGGCTTACACCAGAGATCCTGTTCCTTTCCACAGCCCACTCCGGCATCCGGGTCAAGCCGGGCATTGCTCCTCAGCTCCACTAGTGGACAGGGCCTAGGGAGGGGTGAAGCAGACTGCCTACACTTGAGGCACTTGAGAACTCTTCTGTAAATGTGAAGGACCCCAGAAACGTGCACATTTCATCAGAAGGGACACTTTTCTACAGAGTCCCAGGTAGGTGAACTAGGAAGGAAGGAAGGTAGTCAGACCAGCACTAACAGCACAGAGTGTTTACACACAAGGAGGTCAGAGGATGAGGCTGGGTGATTTCCTCAGCCAGTGCTGGTGTGGGAACGGCTTGAATGCCCTGTGGATTTCTTGAAAACTACACTCAGGGAAGAAACTGATGTTTAGTAAATGCCCATGGCCATGTGTTGGCCAAACATAAAATTATAGCGTAATGTAATGCTGTAATGTCCCTGTGGAAAAGTGCTGGGACCTGGATGCCCACAGCAGTGTCGGTTGGCAGTATGGAGTCTACACAGACTGGGCAGCCGGGACGGGGTCATGGCTGCAGGCCTGCTCCCCTCCCAGCTGCCTCTCCCCCTGGGCCTCAGGTCTGCTTGGGTGGCAGAGCCCTTCTCTCAAGCCCCCCATGGCTCCTCTGTCTGTGCTTCCTTTATCCTCACAACAGAGCAGTTCTTGGCCTTGACCTTCTCAGTGTGCACAGGAGGCCAGCTCTGCACCAAAAAAGCCTGCTAGCTCTCTTTTGTTGTTTGTTTGTTTTTTTTTTGAGACAGGGTTTCTCTGTGCAGCTTTGGTGCCTGTCCTCAATCTTGCTCTGTAGACCAGGCTGACCTCGAACTCACAGAGATCCACCTGCCTCTGCCTCCCGAGTGCTGGGATTAAAGGCGTGCGCCACCACTGCACGGGTAGCATGCTGGCTCTTGACACACTGGGTTCAAGTCCTGCCTCCACAACCTCTTCACTTCCGTAAGCCTTGGCCTTGGTTTGCTCCTTTGTTGAGTGGGACAGCAGCGTCTGTACTGCCCAGATTGCTCTAGGGATGAAGTACTCTGGACCTCTGAAGTACTAAGTGCCCCTCACACAGCCCCACTGCTGCAGGGCCTAAGATGCTAGCCAGCTGCTTAGTTTAGAATGTGAAGAAACAATCCAGCAGCAGGATTCACAGAGCTCCGCCCCTCTGCCTCCCGAGTGCTGGGATTAAAGTGCCACCACTGGCTTTGGTGTGGACTTTTAAAACCTCAAAGCCCACCCTAGGGACACACCTCCTCCAAATCCTTCTCACACAGTTCCACCAACTAGGGACCAAGTATCAAGACATAGGAGCCTGTGGGAGTCATTCTCCCATCTGTGGTGGTTTGAATGATAATGGCCTTTATAGTCCCTACGTTTGAATGCTTGGTCTCCAGTTAGTGAAACTGTTTGGGAAGGATTAAGGGGTAGACTTTGAGGGGTTTTTGTGAGGCATAGTTTTTGAGACAGAGTTTCTCTGTGTAGCCCTGACTGTCCTGGAATTCACTATGTAGTCCATGCTGGGCCTCATACTCAGATCTGCCTGCCTCTGCCTCTTGAATGCTGGGATTACAGGCCACCCATCGGCCAGCAGCTTTGAGGTTTCAAAAGCCCACGCCAGGCCCAGTGTCTTTCACTCTCTCTCTGCTGTCTGCTTCCCAGCATGATGGTCATGGACTCTACTACCCTCTGGAACCATGAGCCCCAAATTAAATACTTTCTTTTCTAAGACTTGTGTTAGTCATGGTGTCTATTCACAGCAGAGGACACTAAGACATCATTCAAATCACCACAACGACCTGCTTCTATTTTTACTGTTTATTTCAGCAGGGTCTCATGTAATGTAACTTAGGCTGGTCTTGAATTTACTGTGTAGCTGAGGTTGACCTTGAACTCTTGACCTCTGGCCTCCATCTTCCATGTGCTGAGATTAGAAATGTGTTCCTGGTTTTATGCAGTACTGGGAGTCAAACTATGGCTTCATGCATGTTAGGCAAGCCCTCTTCCTACAGATGTAAACTGAATCTCTATCTCCATCTCCAGTCCCGTAACCCATTTTTTTTTTTTTTTTTTTTTTTTTTTTTTTTTTTTTTTTGTTTGTTTGTTTGTTTTTTTGAGACAGGGTTTCTCTGTGTAGCTTTGCGCCTTTCCTGGAACTCACTTGGTAGCCCAGGCTGGCCTCGAACTCACAGAGATCCACCTGGCTCTGGCTCCAGTGCTGGGATTAAAGGCGTGCGCCACCACCGCCTAGCTTGTTTTTGTTTTTTTCTTCACATCTTTCAACCTTTCAATAAAAGCACAGCAAACAATACCTCCCCACCCACCACCCACTCTTCCTGAGTATGGTCTATGAAGCCACAGCTGCATGTGACCAAGACAGGCCAGAGGCCAGGCCAAAATGCCCATTAAAGGGCAATTCCAGCAGGACTTCTCGGCTCAGCAGGCATTCACACAGCTACCAACAAGACTAACCATGCTTAATAATCCAAGAGAAGCTGAAGAAGAAAGACGGGAAGTCAGGTAGAGAACAGAGAAAGAAAAGCTCCAGTTAGGCCTCATTTGAGGCAGTCCCTGCAGACACCTAGCCCAGGCTGCCCTAACCAGAGCCCCAGTCATCCCAGGCCAGTTCTGGACGTGCTCAGCACGTGGCTCAACCTGTTGGATTCTGTTGTTCAAGCTCCGGCAGGTTCTGCCACAGCGTTAGGCTTCCGTCATATCTATCCACAGGAAGAGCTGGTGCTCGGGCACCAGGGCAGCCCTCACTGCTGGGCTGACTTAGAGAAGGTGAGCTGGCCAGGGAGAGACCTCCTCCCAGGGTAGGTGACTGAGTGTCTGCCATAACCCATTTGCAAATGCTACCAGAGCCCTAGCTTGGAGTAGAAGCAGCCGACCTGTCACTGGAGGACATGGTACCCACAGCCATTACCCGGGTCTCAGTGATAAACAGAGGTGACTGCCTGGGGCTGCTCACCCCAGGTTTGCTTGTCTCCTTCCTGACAGCTTCGAGAGGTTCACCGACTGTTACCAACACTTCCACCAGTTGGATCCTGGGGTGACGCGGAGTGTCTATGACAAGTTTGTGGCTCAGTTACAGACATCCATCCGGGTGAGTGCCACAATGACCAGAAGTCCTTTTGCTTAGGGTTCACTCTGTATTCGGCTCCCTCAAGATGGCAGCCTGTTTGCAGTCCCTGTCTGCTCAGCTCCTGGAACTGTCATCCAGTGCACCCTTACCCTCCAAACAACATGTGTCTCGATGCCGCCTTCTCTCCTGGTCCTGTAATATAACTGTGTAAGTTGTCCACCAGCCAAGGCAGTGCCAGCTCAGCCAGGCCCAGATGGACCAGGCTCACTTTTGCACGCCCAGCTTCTGAAGAGACCCTTGATAAAATGCCACAAAGGACAGGGCTTACCTGTGTGGCCTGGGCAGGCGTCTCCATGACGGGTAAGGTGACCTGCTGATGTCCCACACAACCCAAGTCAGAAGCTCATTTTTAATAAAAAGGGAGATCTCTCGGGTCCTGGCCCCTGTTTTGGGTAACTGTTGCCTTGCTTGCAGCCCTTGACCTTGATATCCTCCCAATACTAATTCCTTGCCAGATTCCACCCTCCTGAATGCTTAAGGGAAGTTCCTTGTCTATGTATCCTGAATAATGGGCGTTAACAGCTTAGATGCAAGATTGTAAAACATCAGTAGCGAACTTCTGCCCTCCGGGGTTCTCCCATTGTGCTGTAAGCCTGTATTTAACCTCCTACCCCCTTCAAGAAATGACATTTGACATTTAAAATTAAAAATATATGTGTGTATATATATATATATATATATATATATACACACACACATATATATATAATTGAATGAATACTGCGAATGTAATCTGAATACTACAAATGTGATTAATATGAGTGTAAGTAATGAATATCATGAGTGATGAGTGTAATTTAAAAAATAAATTAAAAAAAAAGAAAGGACAGGGCTCCACTCTACTCATGTCTCAGTTACTGTGATGATTGCCCAGTGTGGTGGCGCACACCTTTAATTCCAGCACTCAGGAGGCAGAGGCAGGTGGATTTTTGTGAGTTCCAGGCCTGCCAGGGCTACATATGAGCATGCCTTCTCAGAAAGGAAAAAAGGAGTTCCCATGTTGTTCCTAGAAAGTCAACCATCTGTGCTGCTGCTCCAGGACGGTCTTAAAACAGGTACCTGGCACAGAGACAAGAGGGTTGCAGTCTCCTGAGTTTGCCCTGTGTAGCCCTGGCTGGCCTTGAACTCACAGAGACATGCGCACCTCTGCCTCTGGTCTGTAGGATCAAAGGCATCTGCTACCACTCCTTACATGCAGTTTCTTTTTCAGTGTTTGCTATTTTATATTTTCTTGGGTTAATTCTAAAACCACACATTGTAGAGAAATTGGATTATTCAGGAGAGTGATAGAAATTAGCCAAAGTCTTCCTCAGTGCTGTTAGCAGCTCAGCATGTTTCCACTGAGAGCGTGCATGAAGTCCTCACAGCTCTTTCTTCTCTTCTATTCAGGAGGAAATCTCAGAAATAAAAGAGGAAGGCAACCTGGAAGCTGTCCTCAACTCCCTGGATAAGATCGTAGAAGAAGGCAAAGCCCACGGAGAGCCAGCCTGGTGAGACCAGGTAGAGGGTACTTGAGCAGGGTACCTCAGTGTCTGGAAGAAGACCAGTTCTCACCCATGTCTCAGTTCCTGCCTTCTGAAACGAGACCGTTCGAGGCTTCCTGGGACCCCCGGGACCTTACAGGAACAAGCAGAAGTGGGGGATCCGAGGGCCAGGTCGTGAGCTTTGGCCCCGAGGGCAGATTAGGTGACTAGTCACGTGGCTTTCATTCGTTTGTGTGTGCCACACTTAGGAAGCATGGGCTGTCTCAGTGTGTTCAGTCATGAACAAGTTGCGCTTGGCAGCTGGCATTGCATTGGCCAGCATGGCTGTCTGGTCTGCGGTGTGCTGGACAGAGAAGTGGTGACTGGGGTGAGGAGGGCAGGAGACGGTCATGACCAGAGTGGCCTGGGCTCCAGGAGCCTCCCTCTGCCTCCCCTTACCTTACCTACAGCTCCAGGCTATAGTTGGCATATGCCTTTTTTATTATTCTGTAGTATTGGTGCTGAACACAGGGCCTTGGGCAGGCTAGGCAGAGTTCCAGTGCCTTCGCCCTCTTTCTGCATTCCCTTTTGGTACGGGGTCTCCCCGAGTTCCCTCAGCTGGCAGCTGGAGAGATGGCTCAGCGATCATGAATACTGGCTGCTACTCCAAAGCCGCAGGGTTTGGGTCCCAACGCCCGCGTAGCTGCCCATCCTCCGCTCCAGTTCTGGCCCACCAGCACTCATGTAGCGCACATACATAGATGCAGGCAAAACTCCATCCACGAACATAAGTCCTTTCCAAGTTCCTCCAGCTGGCCTTGAACTCGCTGGTTCAGGGTGACTCTCATGCCAGGTCTATCAGAAGAGGGCAGCAGATCTGACTGGAGTTACCGACAGTTGGAAGCCTCCATGTAGGTGCCGGGAATCAAACTCCAGGTCCTCTGGTTGCTCTTAACACCTGACCCATCTCTCCAGCCATAGCCTAGGAAGTGTTTGTGTGCTTGTTTGTTTGGAGACAGGGCCGAGATAGCCCTGGCTGGCCTGGAACTTACTGTATAGACTAGAAATCATAAAGATGCCTGGGATTAAAAGTGCGCACCACCATGACTGGCCTGTAGGCTGTGAACCTTGACTCCTGCCTCAGCCTCTCAGGTACTGTGGATTGCTATGGCCCAGCCTGGATATCTTTTCTTTCACTTGTCCTTAAAAAAATGAATGATTGGGCTGGGCGGTGGTGGCACACGCCTTTAATCCCAGTACCCGGGAGGCAGAGCCAGGCAAATCTTTGTGAGTTCGAGGCCAGCCTGGGCTACAGAGTTAGTTCCAGGAAAGGTGCAAAGCTCCATAGAGAAACCTAGTCTCGAGAGAAAAAAAAAAAAGAATGATTAGGGCATGGTTCAGGATGGACAAGCAGGTGGGGAGGGGAGGCTGGGGTCAGCTTGTGACTTGGGCCTGGGACTAGAGTGTCTGGCCCTTCTCCTTGTGATGGGCTGTCAGAGAGGGCCGGCCATCCAGGTGAAGTACCCAGTGTTTGCTTGGCTGGGGGGCCTCTGGCTCTCAGCCCAGAGAGTGCCCAAATAGGCCGCACAGCCGCTCCAAGCCTACACCTCTCAAATTGTAAAATTACATTTCTCCTTTCGGGGTGTATCCCACAGGACATGTAGGGTCAGAGGACAGCTGAGCTTCGATAACTGAAGGAATTTGTAGAAGAACCTGCAGTAGTCTTTGCTCATTGACTAGTCTTGCTCCCTAAAACACCTTCCCTTATCAGTCTATACTTAATAGATCTCTGAGAAGCTGGGCCCTCTGAGGAGCCACCCAATCCGGGAAAGGTCACCCTGCCTCCCCCAGTTCTCCCTAACTCAGTCCGTTGGGGTAACGTACCAGCATGGACTCGTGGTCATAAGGACGGAGGCAAGGTCTGGAGAGCCACTGTGAATTCTAGGGTGCTGGAGATGGGTGAGTGTGTGGAGGAGCAGGCTGTGTGGGGGGCTGAGGGAGGAGGCCTGGAGGGGTGCCTGTAGGCAGGGAGGCTGAGGGCCAGGAAGCCAGAGTTCCCATCGGGAGCAGATTCAGGAGGTAACAGGGATCCCAGAAGAGTCCTAGCCTAACTCGGGACTTGAAGTAGGACTGTTACTGGTTAGGTTTAGAGGTAGAAGCCTCCTGTACATTATATTCCTCCTTCCCTGTCCCCTGGAAACCATGTGCTGTAGAGGAAATTCTAAACGGTCTTATTAAATAAGAAACACAGCCAAATACAGAGTTAAAAGCCCAAGAGATCAGAGCATTAGCGAACAGCCTTTAGCTTACCACTCACTGCCATCCTTCCCCTGAGAGAGAGTGTCTCCTGTGTGACCTGTCTCTTTATTGTCTTTCTGTTTTACCTTCTCATTGGCTCTAAACCCAACCACACGATTTCCTCATCACTGCCTGTGTATACAGACCTACAGGTCTCTATGGTTTGTACTGGGATTAAAGGTTCGGGTCACCACTTGGCTGTGTCCTTGACCACACAGAGCCTGCCATGTGATCGGATTGAGGGCGTGTGCCACCACCGCTGGACTTCTGCTAAATAGCTTGCTGTTAGCTCTGATCCCCAGGCTACTTTATTTATTAACATATAAATAAAATCACATTTCAGACAAAGAAAATATCACCATGCTGTGCCCCTCTCCCCAGGCGACCCAGTGGGACCCCGGAGAAGGACCTGTGCAGTGCCATGGCACCCTACTTCCTGCAGCAAAGAGACACCCTGTGCCGCCGGGTGCGGAAGCAGGAGGCCAAGAACCAGGACCTGGCCGACGCTGTCCTAGCCGGGCGCAGGCAGGTGGAGGAACTGCAGCAGCAGGTCCAGGCCCTCCAGCAGGCTTGGCAGGCAAGTGCTGGCCTTGGCCTGTTTTCTCCTTCTCAGGGCCCTGGGTGGTGGCTTCCTCTCTCCCAGCCGAAGGGATCCCATGGGGAGCGGGCTGTGCCCACAGCACCTTTGGTGGGACATGCGAGGTTGGCTCCTCAGTGCTTGTGCTGAAGTCCAGTCACAGCACGTGTTCTGTGCAGCTGCTAAGTGAATGCAAGCAGAAAGGGCGAGAGCCTGGGCCTCTGTCCGGGTGGAGTCCACCCTCTGAGGCCAGTGGTGCAGCGTCTGCTGCATGCAGGCACAGCGGTGTCCTTAAACAGCACGCGTCAGAAGGACCCCAGAAGGACAGGGCTTGGAATCACTCCCAAGGGACTTTGAGGTAGTAGAGCTGGGTCGTGCAATTGTTAGGTGTGACAGGAATAGTGAGAGCGCTTCTTTTTGTTGTTGTTTTTGAGACGGGGTTCTCAGTGTAACAGCCCTAGTTGTCCTAGAACTAGCTCTGTAGCCCAGGCTGGCCTCGAACTCACCGAGATCCGCCTGCCTCTGCTTCCCGAGCGCTGGGATTAAAGGCATGCAATCACTTCTTAGTGGCTTCAGATGCAGTTCTAAAAGTCTCGGGAAGGCCCGAGTGTCAGTGTTACTTCGGGGTCCTCCTCATCCGCTAGAGAGCTGCCCAGTCTGTGCCTAATGCAGTGGACAGTGGACAGCTACTTCCTGAGGCTCATGGTGCCCAGGTTCCTTCTGGTTTGCTCTTGTGTAGCCTGCCCTAGGTTCGGACGGGTAGGTGCAGGTGGAAGACCTGTCCCCATCCCTCCAGTCGCCCAGTGCTTGGTCCTTAGGTACTTGGAGCCACCTTGCTGGATCCTCAACCCCTCCATCCCTAGGAGGCTCCTTAGCACTCTTGTCTCCTGGATAACAAACTGGCCAAACCATGGTCCCCGAACCTGTCAGCTCTGCTCCCATAGCCTCCCTCCAGCCCAGCTTCCATCCTGGCCTTGTCTGAGATGCAGCAGCTGGACCGGATGTTCAGTGTTGACCCTATGTGCGAGCTTCAAAACCTCTCACTGTCTCAGTGCTCAGAGATTGAGCATTACTCAGCATGCCCTGGGGTCCACTTTCAGCCTGGGAGGGGTAGAGTTTCTCCAGTGAAGGCAAAGGAGCTGGAGCCACTTGGGAGTCCTTGTTGGACATGGATTCTGCTCTGGAGAGGCCCAGCAGAGGTGGCCAGGGCATCCAGATGGCCGGGAATACCACCGGGTGGCAAGGGACTTCCCGCTTGTCTTTGTCCTGTGACGTGAGCCACAGACCCAGCCACGTTGTTCTAGGGGACCTGGACTGGGAAGGGCCTGGCACATGGGGTGTGCTTTTCTCACGCCCCACACATCTCCTCTCGACTTTGGTTTCAGGCTCTTCACAGCGAGCAGAAGGAACTGCTGTCAGTGCTGAGGGCACCTGAGTGAGGAGCCGTTGGGCCCCAGAGCAGAGGGCAGTCATGGTCTTGTGGGAGTCCCGTGGATCCAGCTCCCCATTCCCACTGCTTAGGTTCTGGCGGGGTCACCCACACTGCCTTCAGACTCCTGCCGCCGTCCCACCCTGGGCATCAGACACCAGCTTTGTCTCCTGGAGTTGCAATCAGCATTGCCCCACACCCTCCTTCCGGTTGGTTCCCCAGCCCCCTGCACTGGACGGGATAGTGTTTTCAGGATGCTCTGATTGCCGCCTTGCTGGCCAGCCCAAGGGCCCTTGCCATGTTCTCCCCACATCTGTAAATAAACTTCCTCTCCGGCACTGTAATCTGTGAGGATGCTTCCTCGCCAGGCGTCTGGGGTCAGGTCAGGACCACTTCTGGGCCCCGGAGCTCTGTCTGCAGTCAGGACATGGGTCTGAGGACTCTGGAAGACTGCAGCCTAGGGAGTGGGTTGTTTGGATCACCCCGTGTGGGATGGCAGCAGGACCCAGGACCACTGGGTCCCCGAGGTCAGGATGAGCTGTCACTGCGTAACCAGGGCTGCCCTGGGCTGCTCTTTGGGGCACAGAGAATGTGAGGAGGCCTCCAGCACAGCTGAACACTTAACCTTTTTCTCCCACCACTGGGAGGGCCAGTCTTCCCTAGGGTGGGCAGACAGTCTTCTCTCCTGCCCGAGAGCCTCCCCTTAACCCAAGGGCTGCTTGTGTAGATCTGTCTGAGGAACCCTGAGGACAGAAGACCCCACAGTGGTCTCTGCACTGCCCTCTCCCTGTAACAGCCTGGGCACTTCTGCCAGCCACTCTCCAGAAAGCTCCCGAGTTTATGCCTCTGGGTGCTCTGCTTCCTGCTTCAGCCCTCCAGTCATCCTGTGCTGTCACCTGTCACCATTCTGAATTCAAGCTGGTGGCCAGGTGACCAAAGACAGGCCAGGGACAGGTGTAGGGTGTAGCCGGTCTTTAACCCCAGCACTCTGGAGGCAGAGGTAGGCAGATCTCTGAGTTGGAGGTCATCCTGATCTACATCCGGAGACTATCTCAAAAAAACAAAAAGGTCCAACAGGTCACTTTCTCATTCTCCGCCCCACCCCCGCCCAAGCTGGGAAACAGTGGTGGCTCATGGGAGACAGGCCTTGGGCTAGGATGCTGTCCCTGTGAAGACAGTCTTTATCACCTGGCTCACGGGAGAGCAGGCCCTATCTGAGGTTGACACTACCCTGGCAGGATGGAGACCACAGGGTGAGGCCCCAGACTTGCATTCCACCCCTGTACACCTTGCAGGTCTGCCCACCAGGGTCAGCCTCCCTGGTCTGTGTTCCGCACTGCCAGAATGGAAGAGGCCGTCCTTACCTTTGTCAGCCTAGGTCTGAGCTTTGGGCCCTTGGCCCCATGCTACCTGGCCTAGTTAAGGTTACTAAGTACTGTGATGGGACACCATGGCCAAAGCAACTTGAGGAGGAAGGGGTTTATTTGGCTCACACTTCCACAGCACTGTTCATCGAAGGACATCAGGGCAGGAGTCTGGAGGCAGAGCTGATGCGGAGGCCATGGAGGGCTGAAGCTTACTGCTTTGCTCCATATGGCTTGCTCAGCCCACTTTCCTATAGAACCCAGGACCACCAGCCCAGGGATGGTACTACCCACCCTGGGCTGGGCCTTCCCCATCCATCACTAATTAAGAAAATGCCCTACAGCCAGATCTTACGGAGGCATCTTCTCAATTGAGGCTTCCTCGTCTCAAGTTGACATAAAACTAACCAGCACACTGTCCCGCCCTTTCCCCAGAGCTGAGCAGAGCTGCCCTGCAGCTGGGCAAATGAGGACATCACTGGTCACTCCTGCCCCGGGGTTTGGCTCCTGCCCTCGTGGCAGACACTGAAAATCACAGGCTGTGAGATCTGGAGCCCAGTTCGTCCCAACCCTATTTTAGACCGCTGCACCATCTCTAGGGTACTCATAGGGCCCAGCCAGTGCTCCAGCTGAGGCCCAGGAAGAGAACAGAGACCAGGGAGGTGGGGCACCCTGGGGGGAAGAGGCCTAGGGCAGTCTCAGTCTGGCAACCCCTGATTGTGGCCCACATCCACTCCCAGGGCCTTGCCCAGGCAGCTGCAGCCCTCAACCACAGCATCCTTTGGGTTTGACCTACTGAGCCAGGGCACATGACCCCCAATTAGTCCTGGCAGCATCCCCTGCCCCGCCTGCTCTCACGGGCACAGGCCGTGGATATAAATGGTGCTGGAGGCTGAAGTGCTCAGAGCAGTGAAGTCCCGTACAGCATCCTGGTGCAGAACTGGCAGACGCCATGAGGACCCTCTCTCTGCTCACTCTCCTGGCCCTGGCTGCATTCTGCCTCTCTGGCCCAGCAGGTGTGTGTCCTTGTCCATTTCTGTGGGAACCCGCACCCCTGAAGATCCCGGGATCTGCTCTGGGAAGGCACGAAGCACGGAGGGGCAGGGGTGGGGAAACAGAGCTAACTGTGCATTGTTTCCTTTACAGATGCAAAGCCCAGTGGCTCCGAGTCTGACAAAGGTACTGGTGGGCCGCCTGGAGCCTCAACCCTGCCCCCACCTGTCCCCTAGACCCCCAGCTCCCCCGCCTTCTGCCTGGCTGCCCCCCCCCCCAAACCCAGAGTCACCTGACCCTGGCCCTCTGCTCCACAGCCTTCGTGTCCAAGCAAGAGGGCAGTAAGGTAGTGAACAGACTCCGCCGCTACCTGGGCCATGGGCTTGGGTAAGTGGGAAGGAGTACCTGGACTTCATATCGGCAGGGAGGATGTGCTGGGGTGGTCTCTATGAACTGCAGAGGGCCGGCCCGACAGGGCAGACGGATCCTCCAAAGCCCAGGGCCCTGGAGCCTCTTGTACAGTAGGAAGGAGCTGTGTGTACCCCATGTTGGTTGACGGTGCCCTGTGGTGTTTCTCAGAGCCCCAGCCCCATACCCAGATCCTCTGGAGCCCAAGAGGGAGGTGTGCGAGCTCAACCCCAATTGTGATGAGCTAGCGGACCACATCGGCTTCCAGGACGCCTACAACCGCTTCTACGGTACCACTGCTTAGGGCACGTGTTGCCCTGGGCCACACGGCAGCCTCAGCCTCAGCCTGGCTACTCTCCAGGACTCGACTCTCCCTGTTCCCTCTCCCTGTCCTGGGTGGCACACAGCTGCTCCAAAATAAAGTCCAGAGGAGGAAGTAGGCTCGTGTCTGTCCATTGTGGTGGGGGGATAGGTGGGGGGGGAGGTGGGGGGAGGCTTCACACTCAATCCCAGAAAGCTACAGTCCAGTTTATTTGTTATACTGCTTTGTTACGGGTCACACTGGAGGTGTCGTCCTAACGTCCAGCCGCCCCCCTCCCTGCAGCGACCCTCACCATATCCATTATATCACCGGGGACACATCCAAACACATGAGCCACCAAAGGCCTGGTCACAGCGGTGAGCAAGACAGGCAGCTCGTGTGTGGACACACAGTTGCTGACAAGAGGCACCGTCAGGCCCTGGGGCAGGGCAGGTATGTGGGCCGGGTGGCTCACAGGCACTCAGGATGACCTGAGGTGAGCAGATGTCAGGGCAGAGGCCACACGAGGGGCCCCACACCTCCAGCTCTGCTCGGGCCTGGGCACCTGTCTCCACTTACTGGCCTTCACTACTTGCCTCTAGGGTCCTGTCCTTCCACCAGCCCCCCAGACTTCCTCTTCTCTTCAGCCACCCCGTTCAGACTGAGAACAGCCTCCGCCTTCTCAGGCCCCTCCCTGTCAGGGCTCCTCCCCAGCAATGAGGCCTGGCCTCTGCCTCCCTCCATGCCAGTCCCGGAGATGGGGCTCACTCTTGTTTAGCCTGGAGTCCCGCTTCTAGCGAGTTACCCTGCAGCAGGGGACAGGTTCCAGGGATCCGAAGCAGAGAGGCTGTGAAGGCAGCGATGATGAGCAGGTTCCCAAGCACTGCCAGGCTCAAGGTGGCCATGGTAGCCTCCAGACCAAGGGAGGGCTCTTGCATGGCCAGCCAGGCTCTGCGGGATCCCATATCCACCAGCACCGCCTCCAGCTGGAAATGGGTGCCCAGCACTGCACAGATATGGAACAGCTGGTGGCTGTGGCCTGAAGATGGGGGTGGACTGGTTAGGCACAGACCCGCCCCAGTTTTGAACAGATTCACCTGTAACCTGGGGTAGTCACCTGTCCACCGGGCCTGGGGAGAAATCAGACCCCTAAAGGTTCTGGAAGAGCGATTGGACTGAGTTGCATAAAGCCCTACATTCTGTGATTACTGGGGGCTGAGGGGCTGGGGTAGCCCTCTTGGCTTGATCACCCACCCTCAGGGGAGGATACCCCATGTTCCTGGCTCACTCTGCACTTGGAGAGCAGTCTCCCTGCTCTGCCAGGCCAGCCTGAGCCGGGCTTGTGCTCACCAATATAGTCGAAGCGCCCAGGTGCCAGGCGCTCCGGCAGACGGGCAGCGAAAAGGAAGCCGGTGAGCAGAGCACAGAGGAGGTGGTAGGCGTGGCTGGAGCTCAGGGCCTCCTGCCCACAGCTGTGGGCCCTGCCCCAACACAGCTGCAGCTGGTGAGAGAAAAGAGAGCCGCTGGAGAGCGTCCCTGGGACAAGGGACCCCGCTAAGGTCCGATGGGGGCAGGGGTGCTGAGGGGGTGGGCCCCAGGGTCCTGCGCCTGGAGAGTGGGCGGAGAGCTGAGGATAGAGGCTGAGGACCGCCATGAGGTCAAGACGGCAGGCAGGGCAGGGGCCGGGAGAGCCCTGGTGCCCTTACCCGGTAGAACAGCGGGAGGTTGTCGAACAGGAAGGGGTAGAGAAAGGCGGCTGTGCGCAGAGCCTTGCTGAACCTGGGCCGCTCTAGCTCTGGGAACCTGATGGGCAAGAGAAGCGGGTTGGTCTCCATCCCTGGGGGGTGGGGGGGAGTACAGGTCCAGGAGTTGTCTGGGTCAAAGGGGATGAAGGGCCTCAGTGGCGAAGAGAGCCTCCCTCAGGAAGCAGGTGTGTGGAGGCATGCCTGTAACCCCAGCACTGGGGGGTAGAGGCAGGAGGGTCAGCCGTATAGCTCAAGACCCTGTCTCAGAACAGGGTAGTGCAGCCTTAAGTCCCAGCACTTGGGAGGCAGAGACAGGGGGAATCTGAGTTTGAGAGTTCCAGGACAGCCAGGGCTACACGCAAGAACCCTGTCTAGGGGAGGGAGGAAAAAGGAGCAAGGAAAAAGAATAAATGAAAGAGGGGGGAGGGGAGAAAGGAACGGGCTGGTGAGATAACTCAGCAGGTATGGTAAACACACAAATAAAAAATCATAAAAGAGAAGGCCCTCGGGGCACAGGGTCTCCCCCCACGGCCACCCCGTGTAAATGCCACATCTGCTATGTGGCCATAGAGACAACTGCCTTTCCAGGACCGCACACTGGCCGACAGTAAGGCCTCCTGCTGGGTAAGGTACAGGGGTGGCTCAAGAGCCCCGCCTGCCTACCCTTTCCGACACTGGGGGGGGGGGGGGCGGTCCAGAACCCACCGCGAGTAGCAGGAGAGACCGGTGCACAGGAAGGAGTTGAACGCAGCGGCGGGCACGAAGAACCGGTGCAGGCGGCCGTGCAGCCAGGAGGCCGGCATGGAGTAGGCGGCGTAGGGGAAGGCGCAGCCTGCGGCGAGGTGCGAGCTGAGGCCTGCGGGCTCACCCTCTGCGCCCCACCATCACCCACTGCCCTCAGCTCACCCAGGCTGTAGAGGCTGAGCGCCCCGTAGTCCAGGAAGTAGCAGATGTGGCGCGCACGGGGCGACATGGAGCTGAAGGTGTGCGCGCAGCAGGACGCGAAGGGGTAGAGGCAGGCGGGCAGTAGGAAGACCAACAAGGGCAGGTGGTACGGCTCCGCGCGGAAGCCCGGGCTGCCCAACGCCAGCAGGCGCCACAGAAAGTACCTGTGCCGGGCACCTGCTCAGGCGCTGGGGCCGGAGTGCCTGGCCAGTCCCTGCCCGCCTGGCACCCCATCTGAACCTAAGGCAGAGCCTTCCCTCACCAGGTGGGCAGGAAGTGAGTCCAGATGTTGACCGTCTCATTGGTCATCTGGAAGGAGCTGAGGACACAGTCTAAGGCCGAGCTTGTGGGGTGTCGGTAGCCAGACAAGATGCTGTCTTCCCAAAACACCTGCGGGTGGTGGGGGAGCAAGCATGAAAAGTGTCTGGTAGCCTGATGCATGCCTTTAATCCCAGCACTCAGGAGGCAAAGTGATCTTTGTGAGTTCGAGGCCAGCCTGGTCTACAGAGTGAGTTCCAGGACAGCCAGGGCTACACAGAGAAACCCTGTCTCGAAAAATAGAAAAACAAAACAAAAAAAGATGCGCTGGAGATCACAGGGGTCCCAAGCCAAACTCAATTCCAACTCCTTTCTCACCACAGCGTTCCAAACCCACAGAACTCTACTGGGATCAGATAGGATGGGGGTACACACACTGGGTGTTCTGCAGAAGGGGACTCCGGATGGAGGGATATTTGGGGAAGGGTTGCAGGTTCTATACTGCAATAGAAAGATAAGAAAGTTAGCTTGCAGGAGGGACTTCCCTAATAGCTAACGAGAGAAAAAGCTCTGCCCCAATGAGTCCTTTGGGGAGAGACAAGGTTGATGGGTTGGGGCCCCTCACCCGGGGGACCTGGTGGACTCGAAGAAGTTGAGGCAGCTTGAGACTGAGCATGGTGGCCAGGTAACTCCACGTCGACCTGGAGACAGAACAGGGGCGGGTCAGGGATTGGCACCCATCCACAGGTTCCTACGACCAGGTTCAGGGTAAAGTCAGCCACTGAGCCCAAGCTGGGCTCCCACACGGGTGGCGGCAGCTGGTGCTGGCCACAACTCTTGCCCGTTCCCTCCTGGCCCTAGCCTGGGGCATCCAGTCCTGCAGGAGAGGTCCTCAGCGTCTGCGGGCGTGCTGTAAGGGCACCCAGCAGCGAGGCGGCCTCCTGCTAGAACCCCCGTTTGGTCCTCAACCAGAACCCTGACTTTAGGACCCCCCACCCACCCTCCGGCAGAGGACGGAGACCTCCACCGACAAAATTCGTGCCCTCGGGGAAACTGCTTAACTAAGCAGGGCAAGGAATTAGGGGTGCCCTTGAGGCCACTTGGGACCCCTGCCCCTCCTGGGTCCCGTGCCCCTCAGCCCAGACCTGTGCGCCGCGTCCGGGTGGCCTCGGCTCCGCCTGCCCCGCCCGCCTCTCGGTCGCCTCGCCCAGCACATTCCTCGGCACCGGCGGGGGCGGGGCTAATGAGTGGGCGGGGCCACTGACCCGGACCCGTAGGACCCTTCCTCCGGCCCTTGGCTAAAACTTTCCAGCAACTCCACCCTCTCTTCCTGCCGCCAGCCCCGCCCGTCCTGGAGTGAAGACTAGGGGGACTTCGCAGTGTTAGTCTCCTCTGAGTCCATGCTGAGGACCTTGCCCAGCTTGACAAGACAAACCTGGTCCCCAGGCCCCTCATCCCAGATGAAGAGGCGGTGTAGGAGAGCTGCCTGTCCTGACTGCAGCCCCGCTCCCCCGGGGAAGGGCTGAGACGATACTGGGAGGAGTCTATCAGCCCTCAGCAAAGGATCTGGGGATCTCTGCTGCAGAGCGGAATGTGAGGCCGGGCCGATGCTTCATCTCCATTTTCTCACATGTGAGCTGCGTTATCCCAGGCTGACTGGACTCCACAGGCAGTCTCTGGTTCCTGCCAGTCAGCCTGACACGGAGAAGAGTGGCTGGGGATATGGGCCAGGCCCGGCCGAATTGGAGACGGAGGGAAGCTGGGGAACAATCTTAGCCTTGTCTGCCAGTCCTGGAGTAGCACTGGGTGGCCCAGCCCCATTAGCAGGCAGCTCACTTGGCCTCCTGCACACCGCCAGCCCTTCAGCGTGTGTCTGGGCCCACTTCACTGTGCTGTCTTGACCAGGCTAGGGGCCCACGTGGGGATCTAATCTCTGACCAGGACACCTGGTCTAAGTTCCCCAGGATCTGAGGTTGCTAGGCAGGAGGCTCCAAAACCAACTTTAGCTGCATCTCAGAAGGCATCCCTGCTTTGCCCGTGGTGAATGTTGCCCCCCTGGGAAAGACACACCGATCTATCTCATTTACCCCGACACAATGTGGGAGCCCGTTCTCGGGTTCCTCGTGGCTTTACCCAGCAGGTCCGAATAGAGGATGATCAGGACCACGGGCCTGAGTGCAGGTGTCTGAGATGGTCTGCACTTGGCTGTGCTGGGGGGAGGTCTTTTGCTCCACCCCTTGGCGTCTCTGGGGCAGAGACAGTTGGGGCCTGTTGGAATAGGTTCCAGGCCCTCTCGAGGCTATCCTTTATTTTCTATCCGATTATCTCCACAATCTAAATCCTTCTAATATTTCCTGCTGCTTGCACTCAAGAACACTCTGGGGAGCTGTGGGGTTGGTGGGTAAATGTCCCACGAGTTGCCAATCCAGTGGCGCTAGGTATAAAGAACCTTAGCTTCAAGTCTCATGTCTTATTCCCCCTGGAGGGCACCAAACTAGGCCCAGGCAGATTTCTTCACACTGTTCTGTAAACCAGGAATGGTGATGCTTCCTGGGCTCTCTATCCCAGAACGGAAGGAACCACCCAAGTCTAAGGCCAGGTTGGTTGTACAGCAATTTAGAAGCCCTACCCGAGTTCCCTGGACTCTCTAAACCACAAGTGTTGATGATACAGTTCAGTGGTAGTGATGTTATAAAGGACTAATAGATTAGGAGATGTGAAGTCACATGAATGGAATTTAGGTAAAGGAGCACTACCTCCAAAGTACCCCATAAGTTAGAATCTAAGCAGGCCTGTTGAGGTAAGTGGGTGCCAGGATGTAAATGTTTACTCACTAAGAGGGACAAGCCATTAGGCTGTCTCATGACAAAGAGACAGTGGTTTATGGGCCACCTAAGGCAAACCTCTTACAAGGAAGCTTAGGGCAAGGAGGTCACAAGCATCACTAAATCCAGGGCTGCCAATAAGTCTTCTTTGCTGCATTAGGAAAAACACAATTCTGCCAGGTGGGCAAGACCCTGGGTAAACACTATACAAAAAAGAGAACACTGGCCGGGTTGGTGGTGGTACACGCCTTTTTTAATTTTTTCCCAGAGCTGAGGACCGAACCCAGGGCGTTGCACTTGCAAGCTCTACCACTGAGCTAAATTCCCAACCCCGGCACACGCCTTTAATCCTAGCACTTGGGAGGCAGAGGCATTCGGATCTCTGCGAGTTCGAGGCCAGCCAAGACTGTTACACAGAGAAACTCTGTCTTGAAAATAAAAAACAAAACACTGGCCAGGCATAGTGGCACACATCTTTAATCCCAGCACTTGGGAGGCAGAAGCAGGAGGATCTCTGAGTTCGAGGCCAGCCTGGGCTACAGAGAGTTCCTGTGTAGCCAGGGCTACGCAGAGAAAGCAAACCCTGTCTCAAAAAAACCAAACCAAACCACTTGTATGCTTAAAAAGTCATGGCAGTGTGTCCTGTCTTTGCTGTGTAAATCTACCTGCAGTCTCCTGTTCCTGTTTAAATTAAGTGCAACCTGGGGCTGGGACCTGAAAGAAACTTAAGGATGACAGTGTTTGTGGCATGTAAAGTATAAATATGTCAGTAAAATTCTCTGTTCAAGGTCCATTTTGTGTGAGCTTGAGTGTTTTGCTTAGATGAATCCACACCATGTGTGTGCCTGGTGCCTGTGGAAGCCTGAAGTGGATGACATCAGATCCCCTGGAACTGGGTTATGGATGGCTGTGAGCCACCATGGAGTGCTAGGACTTGAACTTGGGTCCTCTGCAAGAACAAGTGCTCTTAGCTACTAAGTCATCTCCCCAGCCCCATCAAGGCAGACTTTTATTTGGGCCTTAGTCTCAGTTGGCGAGGCGCTTAAGAGCCCTCCTTTTCAAAGTGTGCAGTGATCTCCCACCGAAAAGGCGTATCTCTAACAGTAGAGGACTTCCAAACACACCGGGTTCCACGCCTTCCCCATTCCCAACCCCCAGGAGCTCCTGCACAGAAGGCACAGCAGACAGGGTGGGCTTGGGGAGGGGTCTTTATTAAGTGATGCTTGAGTCTCAAGTCTGCCAGAATTGGAAATGGGATAACCCCAACCGTCCCCTGGTTTTCCCCGCCCCTGTCTTGGTGGAAGGCAGGAAGCCAGCTGCTCTAAGCACAGCCAGAGCTGCTAGGCCAGTTGGGGTCAGGAGGGGAGCAGAAAAGATCCCAGCCCCAGCTGTGCTAGGCTTCCAGGCTGAGGGGTGGAACTGGGGTCGCCATGGCCAGAGCCTCCCCACAGCTCTGTGTTCAGGACACCTGTCTGCCCCTGAGCTAGTCATGATCTCCACTCCTGTATCACTTGACACTCCAAAAGCCAGCCCATGCTCAGCCCACCAGGGCTCTAGTCCTGGGGATGGGCAAAGGAGGGTAGTTCAGGGCAGGGGCCCCGAGTAAGCAGCTTCCAGGGATCTTGCCTCTCTGCCACCCTCCCTCCAGCCCTCCCTGGATGGTGAGGGGGTGGCCTTGGCCCTCACTCCTTCCCTGGCACCCCTTACCCCAGCCCAGCAGCCAAGAGCACCAAGCACAGTGACTGGAACTGGTGGAGAAGGGATGACCACTGGCACATAGCCAGCCAGCCCACACCCTAAGTGGGCCTGGAAGCTGGGCAGCAGCAGAAAGGAAGTGGGGCCTTGGAGTGTGCAGCCCCTACTCTGTGGGGTAGGCCATTTCAGGCCCTGCTTCCCTAAGAGCCACCACAGCTGGCCCCAGAGCCGCCCTGTCCCCCATGGGAGACGAGGGAGAGGGTCCTGGAGGGTGGGCAGGGTCTGTGCCGACACTCAGTGTCTCCCAACTCTTCCCTGAGAGCCAGGGGCCCAAACTCGCAGCTCCACCCCCCTCTATCTTGGGTGAGGACAGGGCCCTTCTCAAAGTCCAGGAGCTGCTCCAGTGGAATGCAGGCCCGTGCCAGCCCCGCCCTGGGGACACAGGGCTAATGTGGAAGGGCCAGGGGTCCGCAAGCCACTCCTCCTCCAAGCCCTCCTCCCGTCCCCGATTCCGCCTCAGCAACAGCCCATCCTCCAGCTGGCTCCGGGCCTCCCTGCAGCCTCAGTGCAGCTGGCCCGCCTTCCCATGTGCCGCATGAGTCTGCGTGGGGGGTGACTACAGGTGGTGGTCCTGGTTGCCGGAGAGAACAGGAGAAATCTGGAGTCAGCCCCACTGCAGGGCCTGTGGACCAGTCTCAACCAATCTCCTTCCACTGCCTGTAGAAGTCCAGAACATTCTTGACATCCACACTGGCATGGGCAGCAGCTTGCAGGGCAGCCTGTGGAATGGTGGAGGCGGCAAGATGAGGGAGGGCCTGACCTGACATGGTAGGAAAGGGGCAGCTTCTCTGGAGCGGGTGTGTGTCTGAAGATGGCTCCTAACACCTCTTCCCGACTCCATCCCCCGCCTCATCAGTGACCTACCTGCATGGGCCCAGAGAGCACACTGGGGTTGTCCAAATGAAGGCCTGTGATGATGGTCACCATGCCACTCGGGTCCTCCTCCCCTGCCCCTTGGGCCAGAGTTAGCTGTCTGCAGCTGTCCAGAATCTTATAGAGAGTCCTGAGAATGGGGTAAAGGGAACAAGACCAGGCATGACCATAATCTAAACATAAAAATCTCCAGAGCCTGGGAGAGCGTCAAGAGACAAGAAGAGCCAACAGGCAGCTGGTGGCAGTGGGTCCAGAAGCTGGCCCTGGAGTAGGTGCTGGGAGATGCAGACAAGATGGTGAGCACAGGCATCTCTGGGCCAAAGTGACTGAGATTATGGGAGGGCCCTGGTAGGTTATGCTGGCCCATCCTGTCCAGGGGTGGGGTAGTTCACAGAGGGGCCGGCAGAGCCAGCTCCTGACAGTTTCTGCGGGGAGAGGGCTGACACTTTACCAGGCATCTGCATCCTGCCTCTTCAGTTTATGCCGCTCAAAGCTCTTTCCCACCTCCTTCTGGCAGCGAATGTATCTGCAAAGGAGACCGCAGAGGTGGAGAAAGGGACAGGGAGGGCACTTCACACAAAGCAGGCCATTGTGGCTGGGCAGGCTGTGTCAACTCTGGGAGACAGGGTAGCTATGTCCCTCCCATCAGGCTGTTTGGAGTCATTTTGGAGCAGTTTCTTGGATGCCAGGCTGGCTTTCTCTACTGATAACATCGAGTTTCTGGTTTTTCCCAGGGGAGGAGCTGGGAAGGCAGTAGAAGCACTTTCAAGTCAGAGCTTCTGGGGGTGACCTCCAAACAAACCAGCCTTGTGTAGCTTCCTGGCCAGGCAGGCCAGAGGCAGGGTAGAGGAGGAGCTCTCGCCTCTCCTGCTCCCTCCACCCCAAAGGCTAGAAGGGTGGGGTCTGGGCTGAGTTCCAGCTTCTCCCTGGGTGGCTTAAACAGCCTCCGTAGTGGACAAACAGGGAGCCTGCTCCTTCAGTCTCCAACGGAAGCCTAACAGCTCCTTCAAAGGAGCCACGGCCCAGAGCTGGGACCCGACTGCTACTTTCCCCCAGCAGGTGCTGTGCGAACTCTGCTTCAGAGACAGGGCAGCAGCTCTGACCCCTCAGGGCTTTCAGCTCTTCTAGCCTCCTTGTCCTAGCAGCTGAGACCTCCCAAAGCGGCACAGGAAGCACGGATGAGGCCCGTTACTTGCAGGGAGCCGAGAACTCCTAAGTACAGCTAGATAACGGCCTCAGGTTGCACAAAGGCC